AAGTAGATGATTCTATATGCCTTTGAATGACGTTTCCTTAGATATGAGATACCTCAAAAAGTACAGAAAAGTCATGACTATTTCACTCCGCAGTTTGCCGAACTGAAGATAAATGTCGAAATGGAAAAAATATGCTGAATACGTGCGCAGAGTACAATCTGTGGCGTGAATGGTGCGATTCTTGGTTGTGTGCGATCTTCACCGGGTTCTCACGTGGCAGACAAGTCCGGGCCATAGTCGCGAACGGCCCAAGTAATCTCGTCACAGGTGAGCTCACGAAGTACAGGTGGAACGGCTCACAAGAAAAACCTCATATTTGCATGTGTTTCTGCTACAACGAGCCACGCCTATCACTCTGCGATCACACACCCGGAAAAAAACCTCTAAGCAACTATTCTATGCGATCATCTATTTGTAGAGCATGTGTTTAAATTTGGCGATCTCATGCTTTGCAATGCCTTAATATTTTTTTCTGTATATGATAAATCTTTGATTGGAGTTTCTTGTCGGTCGCTACACGGATTTTCAGCTCTCAGCTGCGTATATTCAACGCGGGTTTCAGGTGGCGACGTGCTTCGTTTCCACCGATATAAAGCGCTAGCTGGAACTTCGATTCGATCAGCTATACGATGTTTTGAAAATAGACTGAAAAGCAAAAAGGCCAATGAAAACAACTGTTAGGAAATTGTCAGCTTAAGAACTGGATTTCTCGAAAGTCATCGTCATAAAGCCTCTGAACCGAATCATAAGCGTTCACAGCTCATGCTGCTAAAGCATTCTCAGAGGGTCTGACCGCAATCGACCCATCGGAGGTCTAGATTTGAGGTATTGCTGCGTACGCAGGCTGAAATTCACCTTTATAATTAGCTGAATTCTTCGGAGAACGAGGGTTGACAACTGGAGCTGTGCCGTTTGAATTATCGGTCACATTCTCGCTGTTGTTGCGCAGCAGTATGCATGCTTTACAGTCTCTGTAAACAACTTAGCAAACCATTTATTAACCGAGTATTTTCATAACGTGGTTAGGAAACTCAAGGTTAAACAGAGATGGAGAGCTTTTTTCTAAGAACCGACCGAAGTCCTAATGATTTTGCCGGTGTTGGTAATGAAAAGCGCGAGTCGACTGCCGGTGATACCATTCCATGTCTGTTTTACATTTAGGTTTTCTAACCAAGCATTAAACAAACAATCAGTTGATGAATTATGGACCGAGAATCAAAGCTTTTTTTTTCGAAATTAAACTAATTGTTGAACAACCCAATTAAATATAACATATAACTCTCCGTCTGCAGTTGCTCCTTTTCGAAAGATCTGACATCTTAATATGTTGTCATCATTTCTACTGTGAGTTAAAATGGGCAGTGCTGCGAACATTTAATTTTTAGCCAGTATTCAGAGCTCTCAATGATCTGTTTTCGCTGATAGGCCTACCCTAAAAGCATAGGTGTAAAATTTACATCACGTCAAGAATAGCAGAGCCCTTCGAAAATTGGGTTTCCAGGATATAGCGCCATTCTTGGTTACGGTTTCTTGCCATCTGAGCGAACCCTAAGAAGAAGGAAACAAGCCGTGCATTAAACTTGGTTTTGAGGAGCTATGGCCAATCAACATACTCAGGCACACTCATACAAACGGCGAGATGTTGATTCTTACCAGCCATAAGAAAAAAAATCCATCGCTATCTCTTCAGCGCTCGCACTCATGGCTTTGAACGAGTGCGAAGGTCGAACTAATGGTCTATCTACGATGACAACAACATTAGATCAACGTGTAGACCTGTATCAAAGTAGTTTCTAGTTATAATAAATTAATTAATAATTAAAGCCTCTCCAAAACCTTAGTAAGGCATTGGTTCTGAAGCAGCAGAAGATACAATAGTCCAATGCCCATACGCATCACTAGCATGGATTTATGCAGACAGTCGCTCCGCCTTTGCTCCGAGGGCTTAGGAAGCCTTTTATACACGGTGCCGTGGTACATCAGCACCTGCTACTAACGTATGTGAATTGTCATCACTGACCCAGTCTATTCAACATAATGGTGTGGTATGACTGTGATGCACACGTTCAGAGAATTGACGCATATTGGTCATTCTCATCAGTAGCACTGAAGTATGACTTTCTATAATACGTAGAAATTTCACCTGTTCAAATGAAATGCAGATATCAATTTATGGGCCACTCATCATTTCTGCCAAACTATTGAACCCTCGGCACATCTGAAATCAGCATCACTCAAAATGAAATGGAGGGTTTTAAATCAACGACGAACTGCTAATTCATCTTCGGCCTGTTCAAAACATCGCGTTTTGCTTTAGAGGCGAAAGATGTTGACGTGATGTTAAGCAAGCCAGAGTTAAAGGGTTCAGAGATGGACTGGAAGTAGAAGGGTGAATTCCAGAGTGATGGGAAACAAATTAGCACAGCAAGCTACAGTAAAAACCAATGACTGCCGAAGGGAGAAGATCTTAATGTATCCACTTAGGCGATTTAGCCATCTCAGACAATTCCATTGGCTAAGCACTCACTAGAAGAAGATCCAGCGCATAAAAGACGTTAGAATACGTTAAAGTTGACGTTAGTGGAAGAACTGCGTTTTTACGAAAGCATATTAATGACAGTAATAATACACAGCTGCGAGATCCGACTTTACCTGAAAAGGAGGAAAATGCTAGCAGAGACCATGGCAACAACGACATAGGAAGTTTGCAGAGGTACAGGCAGCAGAAAGAAAATTTATGAAATCGTTCACGAAGTTCGAAAGTAGAGTCGGTGGTGAAAGAG